GAAGTTACGATACAATAAAGTTTTAAGTATAATTCTGGCTAAAATTATGTTAATTTTTGGCCGGAATTATGATATACAAATATAAGAAATTTTTTATATAGTCACATCTCTTTATAATCACCAAATATGGACTGTCCCAAATGTGTGACTATAAAGAGAGTTGACTGTATTTAGCTATAAATCCAGTTAGTAGAAAATATCAATTATAAACTTATAAGTTTTAGACATAAATTTATAATAAATTAAGTAATTAACTATAAATTTGATGTTGATTTTTTCTGAATTTCTGAATTTTAATGACAAATCATATTTTCAAAAGTTAATTTTAATGACTTTTTTATATCAATCAGCCTTCAATCAAATATTATGAATTTTTGCTGAATTTTTATTGAATTGTCAATTTTCAATAAATCTGAAGTATATATTTAAATATTGGGCAAATTTTAGATTGATTTGCCATTTTGTCCAATTTTTTTTTTTGATTTCAATCAGCATCAATTAGCTATCAATCAAATATAATGAATTTTTGCTGAATTTTTATTGAATTTTTATTGAATTGTTAATTTTCCATAAATCTGAAGTACATATTTGAATATTGGATAAATTTTAAATTGATTTGCTATTTATCTATTTTTTTTTTTAATTTCAACTAGCATCAATTAGCCATCAATCAAATATGATAATTTTTTGCTAAATTTTTATTAAATTTTCTGATTGGTATCAATTAGATATGCTGATTTGAAAAAAAAAAAAAACTCTTTCTCTGAAATAATTAAAACATAACAATTCTGCAGTAAAAACGAAAAATTTTTTACTTTTGTTTTTTTATTATGGAAAGCGTTAGAACTACTATTAAAATAGCTGAAAATAATTTTTTGACTAAAGAATATGAACAAGAACCATTTTTATTACACACATATCAATATTATATACAATATTGTGAAAGTCTTTATTCTTCATTTTTTAAAGGACGAAATACAGAAGTTCAACGTAATATAATACGGAATAATTTTGGCCTAAATGATGAAGATATTAACAGTTGGAAGGGAAGGGCTTTACGTTATCAAATGACTCCAGAAAGTTTTACATTTTTCCTGCATGTTGCTATGTATTCCACTTCAGAAGGCTTCGCCGCAGTACAAGCTAAGAAGTTGGAAAACGACAAAAGTTTATCTATGTTATTAAAACAACAAATTAAAAAGCGGGAGGAACTGGAAAGACAGCTGGAATTTTTACCTAGAAGTTACAAGAAGTCCAAAAAATCAAAGAAATCAAAAAAATCAAAAAAAAAGATTTCAAAAACCCAACTCGATTCCTCGAATAATTCTGACTCAGAAGAGTTAGATTATGACGCAATACCTTTTCAACCGAATTTAGAAGCTGATGATGATGATCTAATGGATGATGATCGAGATTTGAATATAAATCAGCCGATCGATAAGTCTCATGACGTTCAAGATCGGCCGATCGCAGAATCATCTGGTACACAACCTAATGTTGATAAATCACTTTTGGATTTTAATCTGAACACAGCCACACCATTAATAGTCGATATTACACAGCCGCAACATGTAATACAACAAGAAAATATTAGTATGGATTTGACAAAGTCTTCGAAGCAAAAAAAAAAGTCAAACAAAAATTTGGTTAAAAATGTAATAACTGGACATATACCTACCGATGATGATACATCGCGAGTCAGAGACATTTTGGTGTATGACATTCTGGTATCCTGGACTCCTGAAGATATTCTGAAGGAACTTTTGAAGATAGAATTAAGTACCTTTCAGTTAGCCCAATTCGAAGTTAATGAAGATCCGGTATGGACTACAGATTTAGGAGGGATACCAGTACGATGATTTCCAGCAAGGTGGACTCTCAAAGAAAGAAAACAACGTGAAAAGTTCCAAGCTACGATTCATAAAATACCAGATTCAATGACTCTAGCAGCCTTATGGACCGACCGTCGCCCACATTCTTTCCTTTCTGCGATCAAAGGATTGAAAAGTTTTAAAATTGTACAAACAGCGAGAGGGGAACGTAAGTTACTTGGTTTTTTCGAAAGGTGGGTTGATATGCGCGCAGCATTAGAAAATCAGGTAATTTGGGAAAATTATAATCTATCATGAAATCG